GTTATTTTGGGTCATGCACCCAACACCGAATTGGGTTATGCACTGACAAAATCAAAAGTTACTTTGGGTCATACAAAAAAAAAATTCAAAAGGAAAAAAATGAAATATGTTAAAATATTTTTTAAAAATATATTAAGATAGTATTTTTTTTAAAAAATCTATTTTTTATATAATCACATCAAAATATTAATTTGAAGTAAAGAAAAAAATTTAAAATTTTTAAATTTCCTGGATCTTGTTTCACAACTAGACACAATATCAATATATTTTAAAAAAATTATTTGAAGTAAATAAAACAATTTAAAATTTTAAAATTTCATGGGTCTAGCTTCGCATCTAAACATAATGTCAATATATATATTTTTTAAAAAAAATTATTTGAAGTAAAGAAAAAAAAGACATAATGTCAATATATATATTTTTTTAAAAAAATTATTTGAAGTAAAGAAAAAAAAATTTAAATTTTCAAATTTCATAGGTCTCATTTAGCAGCCAAACACAATCTCAATATGTATTTTTTAAAAAACCTATATAAAAAATAATACAAAAATACCAAAAAATATGAATTTAAAGTAAATTAAAAAAATTTCAAATTTCATTGGTCTAGCTTATCAAAAGTTATTTAAAAAATTAAAAATTAAACAAATTAACATTATTGGGTCTTGCTAGGAGGTAGGAACCAACACTTTGACACTTTTTGAAAGTGTTTTAGGTTTAGCATGAGTGTTGGGTCCAGCCAACAAGCTAGACCCAACAACTTTTAGTAGAGAAGACAACGCCCGGAGCTCTTAGGTCCTATTTGGGACAGAACCCAACTCTAAAGGGTTGAGTAGGACCCAACACCATTGGATACTAGTATTAGTAGGACCTAACGCTCTTGTATTTTTAGTCAAGAATTGCGATTGGAGGAGCGACCTTCTTTGCCATAAATCGATGGGTCTAGCTTTGGTAACTAGGCTCAATATTGTTGGGTCTGGTTTACAATCCAGACCCAAAACACTTTCAAAAAAATGCAATAGTGTTGGGCCTTATCTCCTGGCCAGACCCAACAGAGTGTTTGACTGTGGATGACATTGTAGCACCACACTCAAACACTTTGTTGGGTCTTGCTAGGAGACAGGACCCAACACTATTGGCACTTTTTTGAAATGCTTTAGATCTGGATTGTCAACCAAACTCAACAACGTTGAGTCCAACTACCAAAGCCAGACCCAGTGGCTTTTGGTTTTAAAGGTAATGCCCTCAACCACAATTCTTAACTAAAAACATAAGAAAAGAATGCCCTTCAGGATGCTACAATGTTGTCCACAATGCAAATACTTTATGGCTATAGTGTTGTCCATAGTGCAATGTGTCCGTGTCTACAATAAATCTATAGTGTTTTTCCATTCATTTTAATATATAACAAAGCAATTATGCAAGTCCATAATTAATTGTCTCCTGGTCCACAGTGCATACATGTATAATAAGGTGCTATTTGGTAATGTGGCTGCGGGTGAGGTTCACCTGCAGCCATTGACACGACTAAAAGATTGATGTCTTCTCCCAAGTGCAGGAGTGTCGAAGTAATAAATAACCCGGCAAGACCGGGCTCGAACCACAGAGAGGTTAATTATACAAATTATAAACAACAATTATAAAACAACAATAACAACAACAACAACAA